ATGACACAGAGCTCCAAATCATCTATTTATCGTATCCTAAAAACCAACATAGAATTTGAGAGATATCTCTTTCTGCCAAAACATATCTATTTCCGGATTTTAAGATTCAGAACAAGTAATCACCACCTCCCTATAGAAGTTGGCCGTTGGGCAAATGTTCCTAGAGAATATCGTCAGTGTAATCTATGCAACTCTCATGCTGTGGGAGATGAACTCCATTATCTGTTCAATTGCGATGCTTTACTACTGTATAGACAAACATATTTACCTTCTTACTTGAATTCAAAAACCTTGTGGAAAGTCGTCAAACTGTTCTCGTCCAAACAAACGCGCAATCTTAAAAACCTTGCTATGTACATTAATGTAATATTTAAGTCTACAAAGATACATTAACCTTTGGTTCTATTTCGCTTTTATCTGCCATCTTGACATGTATATATTTATATGACTATAGTAATATTGTATTCTCATGTACCACCGTTCGTGGTGTTTTCAGCAATAAATTGAACTTGAACTTGAACTATTTCTGTTCCTTTCAGTTGTCATGTTATAGGTACAGTAAGTAGGGGAAGTTTCAATAGGGTTTTTTTGCCCAGCAGTCTCGAACCAATCTGAATAAACAAACAAAAAGTAAATTCCCACTTTAGTGGAATTCCCAAAGAAATACATAAAAACACTACATTTGCATTTGGGGGGCATTAATAATTCCCCCTCCCACACTTGCGGGACACCCAGAGAGTAGCGAGGTTGGAATGCACTGGTAAGGAAATTCCCGCGACTTGCGTAAAGGGAGATAACTGCGTAAGTACTGGCGTGTGGGCATTTTCCTCAACCGGCGCAATTTAAATGATCACCGAAAGGGGTTTTGTACAACATAAAATTATGGGAGTGATTCGCTGTACATGCATTACGATAAAGCAGTTGTTCAATTTCTTCCAAACTACTATTAAAATTGATATTGTGTACTGTGTTCGTAACACACGCCATCAAAATTCCAACCGTATCATGGCGCACCTAGCCTGAGACAGACACATCAGTACATACATATTATCCATCCAATCCTCATAAGATATCTCTAATGACAAGCGCTAGGTGCCTGTTTGTGCTGTAATACCATATGGATGGGTTGCTACTGGAGAATCACTTGTTTCTTTCTACCCACCCACTCCGACAAAACTACAACCATATTGGACACAGGAGAGAGTTTGTGGCCGATGTCATACCATCACAATCTGGTACAGACCCAGACCCAGGGACGTGCCCGTTGACATCTGGGGTGGTGGGGTAGCCTAATGGTTCAAGCGTCCTCTCGTCACGATGAAGGCCCGGGTTCGATTCCCCACATGGGTACAAAGTGTGAAGCCCATTTCCGGTGCCCCCCGCCGTGATATTGCTGGAATATTGCTAAAAACGGCGTAACACCACACTCTCGCAAATAACGTTTCTATTTTATTTTGCCCGTCAAAATGCAAAATGAAGTAATCAGGCCGCGTGATACATTAGAATCAGGGTTACTTTGTTATGTCTCATCATCTAAAGGAATGTAAATAAATATACCAGCATTTTATATCCCCAAAACAATCAAGTTTTAAAAAACAGTCTCCTTGGAAGTGTTTGTAATTGGCCTGCCCATGGGAATTGGATTGCTCCCCTTGGTAGTCGTATTTAAAGAACATCAATATCAATAAAAAAAACTAAAAAACACGGACATAATTCGGGATTTGATTTTATTCTCAATAAAAAGCAAATAACGAAGAAAACAGTTTTCGTGTAATGCGTCTCGCACCATTAGAGACATAAAAACCCAAAGAAACACACTGAACTATGTAACAATGAACACTCGTGGTAGGGTATCTTCACCATGGACAGGTAGAAGTGCTGTGTGGTACACTTAGCGATCTAAGCGTCCAGCTGGATTATGCACATCATAACTATAACATAATCAACATACATATACATCTATAATGTGGACAAAACAAGGTAACGCTATGTACCGGTATCAGTATTAGACACAACAAAATCTCGCTAAAAAACAAATTGAGTCCCTTAGCTGAGCCAGGATCCGCGATCCGTACAGGTGCAGATTTGAATTCAGTTTGATCCCTGATGTTTCCCTTCAAAAAGCTTGTTAGTTGGTTTCTGTAAAGTGTTTAACATTTACGATTTCCGTCCGTTTGGTTATTCCATACATAATATAGTTACTGGTAGCACATAATTACTGCTCGTAACGACGTTAAACGTCACTCATTCTGCACTGCTAAACACAGACATCACAGAACACATCTATAAATATATTACGGAGTCAAATAGAGTCGTATATACATATGCCTTTTAAACCATCAAACATTTGAATATATACATCGCTGCCCCCAAAAATAATAAAATAAATAAATAAATAAATAAATAAATAAATAAATAAATAAATAAATAAATAAATAAATAAATAAATATATAAAATTTAAAAAAAATAATAATAGTTAGCATAATAGAATATATTTCATAAAAGTTAAACATATGAACGTGATCGAACACTTCCCTTAATATTTAACCGATGACGACGGGGTTTATACGGAGTAGGTTTCAATTGTGTATACTTGTGTAACAGTGACTAATTTTTCTTGCGAAATAAACTAGGTCACCAGCTCAATTTCCGTCCTGTTTCCTTGTTTCCCCTTTATGACTAAACAGAATACATGCATGTAACCTTCATGCCGAACCACTGCTGATGTGAAATAGCTGTACATGCACGACAGACAGTGTGAGTCAGTCACAGTCCCTTCAAAAGATAAGAGTTACAAATATTCATATGGTACCACCATGTCAGAATGATGAGATCAATTTAGAGTACATAGTCTTGATAAAATACAAAGAAGGTCGCCTGGGAACGAAATACATTTCTGAGCGGGAGAAATAAATCCCTTATACACTGTTTAGAAGAAAACAGTTTGGATTCTTGAGTGGGAGATTAAATGACTCGTGCCTCGACTTAATTTAAGTCACGTGGCACGGCACATTTCTACCTCAACTCAGTCGAACCGCAGCCTTCTATCAATTTCCAATTCATTTTTACTTTTTAACAACGGAAGATTGAAACATGCAAAGATAAATTCCGTGATGGGTATACAACCTAACGAGAAACCAGACGATATATAACTGCTACAACTTCCAATACACAACATCGGGCCCAGTTGCACACGTAGAGCGTTTATACTGCAATCGCTTGTCGAACACCTGCTGTTATCAGTGACTTCAGCGATTTTCAGGTACTTGTCACTTCAGTTTTACCTTTTGTGTCTAATGGAACAAGTTTAATATTTACAGTTATCGCTGCACTGCGATTGCTCTTTATGCGAGTGCGTGCGTGTGTGAGTGAGTGAGTTTAGCTTTGCGCCGCTTTTAGCAATATTTCAGCAATTTCACAGCGGGGGACACCAGAAATGGTCTTCACCCTTATGCAAGGTCCCGTTTCATTTAACGATCGTAAGACTACAACTGCCTTACGTATATGAAGGGTAGCCTAGTGGTTAAAACATTCGATCGTCACGCCGAAGACCCGGGTTCGAATTCCCACTTGGATACAATCTGTGAAGCCTATTTCTGGTGTCCCCCGCCGGGATGTTGCTGGAATATTGCTGAAAGCGTCGTAAAACCAAACTGAATCACTATGTTAAAGAATGTAAGTCGGGTCGTGTGGTTTGAACTCATTCGACCAAGTGATATTTGTGCTACTATAATCACAACGTATATTCTTCAACACATGTGCGATACTCGTGGCCCTAAAACGACGCCTTTACATTTGTTAGCTCTAACATATTGTCTCCGTTCCCACACAGCATCAGTATCCCACTGACACACCACAACCATTCAGTATTATACACGGACAGCAAACTAGTAGCATGTTGTATACATCCGGACCCAGTTTTACAAAGCTCTGTCAGTATTTATATGACTTTCTCACAGCCCCATTAACAGAAAAATATTAATAGTCATAGCACTGGGAGCGCTTTGTGGTATATGAGGATGTGAGGCAAGTGCAACAAGGAAAAGTGAGGAAAGAAATTACATCTGTAACAAAAATGAGAAAATAAGGAATGCATCGGCATTGGGCCTGTTTTACACATAAATTGGAATGAAAACAATCCAGTTTATGTAAACGGGTATGGCAAGAATATCACTTAGGATATTGTAAAACAAGAATACAAGTGTACTGTATATTCATCAACATACTCGGTACAGTATATAGCATGGTTCTGGCAGAATTCTCATATCAACTATGTCATGTCACACTGACCATATTATTAAATCATACAAACCATCATACTGACCATGGCATTACGCCATATGGACTATCATGTAATAAGTAATATGTTGGGTAATTTTCCATTAAGACCAAGAAAATTGTAATAAATGCATTTTCAGCCATCTACCCTATTTGAAATGTTGTAAAGTTACTGCTATTAAAGGTAACCACCGGGAGGTATGAGTCATGCATAAAATATTATGAAATTTAAAAGTTAAATTCAATTTATATATCTTTTTTATTCACATAGGAATATTCCTTGATAAAGCGCCAGAAGGGTTAACGTTTATCTTTAACTGAACTTCCCTCACTTAATTTTCAATCGAAAGTCAAACATATTGTAAAATCAAGAGATATAGTTTCTTTTTCCCGAAGATAATCATAAAATTTATGTCATTATACATGTATTTAGGAAATGCGTTGACGAACCTTTGTCATTTCCGAATTCCCTATACACCAGTTCTAGAAGAAGTGATTCTTGACACATTGTTCGGGGAACGAAGAAAAGAAACTCTTCTGTCAATAATGTCAAATATGTGAACGGTCATATATTTAGTGATCAAATATAAGACAGAGAGGCTTAATATGCCACAAATGAACATTTGTTTGAGCTGTGAGACAACGGAATACCGTTTAGGAAAGTTTATGTCTAAGGGACGAGGAAATAAGCGAGAGTAGGTCATGGAAAAGAGAGAAAAGCCATTGGAATACGATAGTATGTCATGGAAACAAGATATTAAGTGTTGCAAAGGCATTGATTAACGTTTATAACCTCTTCTTCTCATGTGATCAGTAAAGCGTGTTATGTTATTTTTCCGCCAACAATGCCAAAAAAAGTAACGACATTATCAAAACTACCCAGTTAATAGAAAACCTACTCACACCATTAGTTTCTTTAATTTCGGTCACTACTTGGTCTACTGTTTCTGTCTTCTTCTCCTCCACAGTACAGTTGTTCTGGAGGAATTTTTTAAACTCATAGTCCTTTAAGTCCTTGGACTCCGAGTTCAGCAGACACTGTCCTTCCAGTGTCCACGGTTCAGACACCCACATGGCATCAAACACAGAACAATCGCAGTTCAGATCTAGTCCTTCTAGCCAAATCTGTTGGAATGTTTTCTCTTTATATTGTAAAACAAAACGTACATCAGTCATGTTGGTTCGTTTCAAAGCCAACGAAATACCTCGACCCTTTCCATCAAAAACATTGTCTTCGATCCTATAGAGGCAGTTATCAGAAAAATCGTAGGAATTTGCTCCGATTCCCTTCAGTGAATCAGTTTTCAAAACACATATTCGGTTTTTTGTTTAGTGAAACGTGATGAAGCTTGGTCAAATTGGACAAGAAATCTCTAGGTACTTCTGTCAAACCCCTGTCGTTAATAGATATTGAAACCAAGCAGTTTTTCTGTGGTTCAAGTATGGACGCTTCTAGGGCACTAGCGTCTTGCTGATGTCCAGGGTTTGGAGACAGTAAGATCCTTTTAGCGACGTAGATGACATGTCTACAAGTGGGTTGTAGCCTACGTTTAAGATCTTCAGAGCTGCGAGACTCCACATCCCCGCTGTGGGCACATCATCCAGTTCGCATGTCCTCAGTGCAAGAGACTCGAGACTCTTCTCAAGCCCAGCGAGAGATCCTTCTTCAATTTTCAGGCCACCATTATCACTGAGGTCAAGGTCACGTAAGCTTGACATTCCTTTAAAGCTATTGATGGATATTGATTTAATGTTGTTCAATCTCAGGGTCAGTTTCTTGAGATTATACAGATCCTTGACGGCAGAAGGGACCTCTTTCAACCAGTTAAACGTCAGATCTAACTCCTCCAGACTCTCAATACCAACAAACGCTTTATCCCCAACACCTGCAATGTGGCAATTGTACATGGAAACGTCCTTCAGGGCGGTCAGACCAAGACCTTTGAAGATGTTTGGCGCAATCACACCGTCATTTTTCTGGCTGTTGTAGTTCAGTATCAACTTCTGCAGCTTTGAGAGCCCTCTGAGGAAGGTGAAGGGAGAAGTGAATTGCAGGCGGATGCTCTGTAACCCCAAGAACTGTAGCGACCCCGCAAGGTTTATCAGGGCACTATCTTGCAGCTTCACGTTGTCATTAGCTTCGAGAAACAGCATGGCGACATTCAGATTGCTGGGGAAGTCGCTCCGTGATATGGACATGAGCATATTTCTTGACAAATCCAAACGTTTTGGGAGAGCATTTTCACTTAAAGATGAAAGATCTGGAACCTTCATGAAAGCTCTGCCCTTACAATTTACGAAGTAGGTATTACCTAGTTTGGGCACTCGACGAGTCCTACACACACATCTCTTAGGGCAGCTTATATCAGATGTATACACACAGGAAAATAAGGAGAAAAATAGAGTTGCATAAATTAAAATATGTTCCATCTTGCTCCGAGGACCCACGAGGATTCTTAGCATATTCCCGTTTGGTATTTTGGTCATTTCTGTTTTTCTTCAGGTTAAGAGAAGAGTGGTCGTCTCACATGGCCATGGTTTCAAGAAAAATCTGAAAAGACATTTGACATGGGTATTAGAAAAAAATATAACATGCGGCGTAAAACACAACTCACCCACTCACCACCCACATGAATAAAAGACACGTTCACGAGATACAACCAGATGGTCCAAGAACTGCTTCAAAACATACAAGGGGCGGTGGGGTAGCCTGGTGGTCAAAGCGTTCGCTCGTCACGCCGAAGACCCGGGTTCGATTCCACACATGGGTACAATGTGCGAAGCCCATTTCTGGTGTCCCCCGCAGTGATACTGCTGGAATTTTGCTAAAAGTGGCGTAAAACCTTACTCGTTCACTCACTCATAACACACAGTTTAGTAGTACCCCCTGACAAGATGGGAGAAACCAAATCATTTCTTCGTGCCGTATTCTGTTTTCAGGACGAGTATATTTAACGAACTTTCCTTCTATTTTTCAAAATTGGGCAAACATATCTATTCAAGTACATTATAATTATCAACCCTATGTTGTTGATAGGGCATGACCAGGTTCATTCGTCGTCGGCCAGGAAAATAAGTGTGAAAGTACTTGATATTGTTAAGCGAAATCGAAACAGATCTGAAATATCAACGAGTATGGTTATAACAGTTTCACTCAAGAAAACTTGAATAGATCTCATCACAAAGTACAGCGCAAACTCATCTCTGATTGATACATAACACAGGCGTATTTTTGTTTTCTCTCGTTACATAACATCTTCACCACACTGAGTGATCTGACGAATGTTGTCAACAGTGGGTCAGTCACGAGAAACAAGAACATTTCCAGGTCGCAATCGCACCTGGCTTTCAAAATAGAAGTAACACTAAGTTATATTAAAACGTAGTTTAACCTCACGTGAAACAACTTAACTTTACTGAAATATCAAATTTATTTAATGTTTGATAAACCGTCCTACCGTCCTGCTCCAGCAGATATGTGAAAGGAAATAACAATTAATTCCTGGTCCGTATTCCGGCTGATTCATGTTGCAGTACACTTTACTCAATGTCATTTCCTCTGTTTATGGGTCATTTTAACAAGTTGATATTAATGTCTCCGGGCTTTCCCCCCGCAAAAACAACAACAATAACAATGAGAGTTTTCAAAGCTGTTTCAACAATGAAACAACGTATTTGGGATCATATGCTTAGTTTTACTCCATCGAATAAAACTTGTTCTTTTCAACACTTGTAATTCTAAAGAGTTTCACAACAATAACCGGTGAAGATCTGGGTTAAAAGTGATCTTCAGCAACCCGTGCTTATTATAAAAGGCGACTAACCAGATCGGGTGGTCAGGTTAGCAGACTTGGTTGACACATCGTATTCCCATGGTTTACTCCCTACATTTGAACTACACCCCAAATTAACTACAGGGATTATTAGGGATTAATTATCTGAGCAGAGACACCCCATGGCATGTAATGAGCACAGCCCATCAGCTCTCCCAGAAGAACTACATGCTTAAAAAACTCCCATTTGTTACACACCCCAATACACATAAGGTCACAGACCGCTGCACACACCTATTACCTATTAGTGAAAATGGGATAGTCCATACTCGTTACAGACATAGAAAGATAACGCAACACAATTGATTAGCACTGCATATAATTTTATTGCATTTTATATGCATTTGTTTGCAAATCCATGTATATGAAGTTCATCATTCTTCGATGTCTTTTATCATTTATTTCCAAACCACTGACCGCCTCCGTGGTGTAGTGGTTAGAGCGTCCGCCCGGAGAGCGGAAGGTCGCGGGCTCGATCCCCGACCGCGTCATACCAAAAGACGTTAAAATATGGAACTTGTTGCCTGGCGCTCGGCATTAATGGGTACAACAAGGACTGGTCGGCTCGGAGTCAGTATAATGTGTCTGAGTGGGGTATTCATGCTTCACTGCGGCATGGTATCTCAGTGGGCTAGGCACTATAAAACCAGCCTAAGTCTGGGCTAGTACAAGCAGCCGCACATACACATACATATACACACACATGCACGTCGTCATATGAGCGAAATATTCTCAAGCACGACGTAAAACCCAATTTCATCTCACCTCACTAAACCACTGATTGGAAAATAGAAATTTTGAAAGAGGGGTGTAACTACACAAAAAAGCATTAAGGGTATTAAGGGAAATTTGAATTGGAGGACGAATCAAGAAGGTAAAAAATATGAAATAGGTAAAGAGTAATAGAGGAATTTGGAATTTGTAATTTAATATAGAAATAGTGTAATAAATGGTTATTGTTATTGTGTTCTTTGTTTTGTGAACCAACCCATGTTTAAAAACATATTTATCAGGTGAATAATGATAAACATATAAAATGTGCAAGGGTCAACCCCAGCCATTTATAGTAGATGATGTACTTTCTCAATATAATTAAGTTAACTCTACTAAATAGTTAATCCTGCCTTGAGAAGATGAAATCATCTCAAGAGAGAAACAACTGAATGTACATATTAAATGCTAACTATGAAAAACATCTTTAATCAAACAAACATTTCTTGAGTAAAAACATCAAAACTGCTTGCTCTTAATCCCTTTGATCCATTTGACAGTTTGGGCTAGTCCATTATTGTTGTAGGCATAGCAGTAATTAACCCCCAACCTGACTGTGTAACAACTGGCAATATCAGAGTGTGTACTGGCATGTGTAACAAATGGGAGACAACCGGGTGAATGGGCTGAGGAAAGGGATCAATTAATTTGGTGAGATCAATTACCAATGAGTCAGTGGTGTGAACTTGAATTGTCACTGTAGACCATTACCGATGCAAAATGGAAACTCCACCACCAATCACCAACTATTATTGTGATAGTAGTACAGGTATATAGATTGTACTGAAGATAATAAATCCAATGATATACATATACATGTAAATACAGAATTATTTTTGCCCCATTTACTTACCAAGAAAATAGCTATTAAGCATTAATTTCATGATATAAGCCAGTTACAATGTATAGTACTGTTTGAAAAGTATTCAAGCAAGGAGACATTGAATAATCCGACACTCTGTATAATCCGAAATATTTTCCCGGTCCCAGTGAGTGTCGGATTATACCGGCTCTCAGAAAAGATATTACAATACGTATCGTTTGAAAAGCGTATTTCGGTATACCGGTTATACCGTGCAGTTCTCCAAGGAGAGGTCACATTCGCTATTGACTTCTCCTGTTCCAACAGTTTTATCACTGTGAAGTTTATCACTTTTCGTCGTCCTTATTGTTAACTGAATGACAGAAACATAACACGTATATATTTTTATGATAATGGACACAATGCGTTCAGTTGACCAAGTGTTCAATTTTAAGTGTTTTCTTTCAGTTGAGTATATGTTGTCGGCCTTTTGGTAGGTGATATATTTACAGTCAAACGACGATGCGACTACTTAAACACTTCGAGGTTCGACACAACCGAACAATAGAGCCCGTAAGTAGGTCACGGCAATTCGCGAGACCTTAGTACTTCCGGTGAGAAACAACGTTTCATACTTTTTCAGTCTCATGGTTGTCAGCTGACAGTAAGGAACTGATAATTCTTGCAGGAATAACAAAAATTTCCGCAAATTAGCTAATTATTACGACTGTCAACAGCTGTGACAGCCATGCATGATTGTACACTTGGTCCGGTCTAGTGAAATCATATTTGGTGTTCTTGAACATACGCTTGTCACCTGAAATCTGGTACCGGAAGTAAGCTGAGCCCCGCCTCCTATATTGCAAGTTGGCGCGCACAAAGGGAGCCGGGAACCAGCACAGTACCGGAAGTAGGGCCTCGCGAGACTTACAGCTCCTATGATGACGAAATAAGGAATACGTGGGAGCTAATTGTTTACTTTGAGACACATCGAGATTCCACACAAAATTGTTTGACAGTATTTAACTACCACTCATCTTGGTAGAATACAGTTACACCCAGATATATTCCACAAACCACGATTTACACATTTGTAAAGCTCAGGTGTCGCTAGTATATTTCTTAAAACAGATTGTTTTGATTTTGAATAATGTCCATTTCATCACAAAAACTCAGAATACAACAGTGCGGACAACCAACAAACAAATGACAGTCAGCAAGTATGCGTGTCCACGAACACAATGAGCTTCAGATGTGGGACATTCAGACAAATATCCTGGAAGTTTGGCATCTCTAAGATCCATCTGGGTGACCGTGGCATTGCAGGCCCCGGTCAACGACACTCCCTGATGGATCAGGCGGGCGATTGTACAATCACATTCTAGGGGCACTCCTCTTACGTTTATGGAACCAAATGTCCCAGCATCGTATTCAAGGGTGAAGCGTAAATCTGTCAGGAGAGTTTCAGAGAGTTCGAGGTACAACGGGTAGGTCAGATTCTGAAAAGCACCTTTTTTCAATTCTGGCTAGAGGGTTTTTTGGCCAACACCAAGAGGCTGGCTTTGATGCCTGCGAGAGAGTCTTTGCGGAGGACTTTGATCTCATTTTCATCCAGAAACAAATAGTGAAGTTTCTTTAAGGATCTCAGCGATTCCGCGGGAATATCATCTAAACCCATGTCTCTCAGAAACAAGTCTTTAATACAGTTTTCTTGGCCTTTGAAAATGTTGCGAGTTAGTTTGATATGTGTTTGGCTGATATACAGACCCTTTAAACAGAAAGATCCAGACAAAGAACCATCAGGAATTGTTGCCAACGGATTCAATTTTACGTTCAACTTCTTAAGAGCAGTTAAATGTTTTAGAGCATCGGTGGGGAATTTTGACAGTTTACAGTCACGCATGTCTAGAACTTGCAATGATTTCTCAAGACCAACCAATGCGTCGGCGTCAATCGTAGTAACTTTTGAGTACAACATGTTCAACGTCATCAACTTTCTGTTGTTCACGAAACTCTTCCTTTTTAAAGTTGTGAAGCGTGAATTACTTAAGTCCAGATCTGTCAGGGCAGTGAGGCGGGCAATACCGTCGGGTACACCAGGCAGTAGGTTCCCCGCTAGGTCCAACTCTTCCAGTGTTTCAATACCTAAGAACACATCTGTCCCAAGAGACTGAATGTTACTGTTGTACATTTTCAGTTTTTTCAAAGACGACAATCCCAAGCCATAGAAAAGACGGCTGATAATGTTCGGGTCTCCAGATTGATAGTGGTACTTGTTGTTGAAACTCAGATCGAGATATTCAAGCCTGCTAAGTCCTCTGAGAAATGTTAGGGTCTTGTTGAAGAATATTTTTGTAATTTCAAGGTTTAGATATTCCAAAGAATTGTGTAGGTTGCTGAATGCGCCATCTTCAAGTTCCATTTCCCTGTTGTCGCTTAGGATGATGCGCGTGATTCTAATTCCCTTAGGAAAGTCCGTTTGTTTGACTCGAGTGATGGCTCTTTTTTTTAACCTCAGGAGTTTAGGTTGAGGGTTCGAGATTAGTCCAGAAAGATCCGGAATTCGGGTCATGTTTCTCAAGTTGCTTTGGATTATGTACCCATTTTTCCCGATTCCGATGATTCCGGTGTAGCACTGACATTCAGCCGGACAGAATGTTTCCCGGGGAATAACAGAACTAACTAAACACGCTGCGTAGATGAAAAGGAACCACATTATCGTCACGAGGACCTGCAACGAGAAGAGTACTTACATTACATAAATAACAGATTCTTCATAAGCGGATATATCACGTCATTGTGTTTCATTGCATACACTGTAATCAACGTTTAGTGTAATGTTTGGATCATCTAATAATGATGTAATAAAGATGATAAGACTATATTTTTTAAAGAGTACTTTTTTTTCATTGTTCGTACTTCCAGCTATTACCTCGGTATATATCAGCTTAAACAGAATCGCATTCCTTATATTTACATTCATTACGTTCATTCATTAACTGTAGCATCTTCCCGTCCATCTATCTGTTCCACAATGTAATCATCAATGGCAAGTATCTCATACTGCCTTTTCTTGTCACTTCGTAAGCTAATTTGATTTTTTATTGAATATTGATTTAATTCAAATCAAATGAAACTATTCAATTGTTCTTCTTGGGTGAGTCTTGTGATGAACATAATCTGAACTTGACGTAATAACGTTAGCCTGCTCCTCACAGTTTCGTCGAAAAGAAGTGCGGTTTGAAACATGGCGACTGGCTCCCAAAAATCTCAAATTGACAAAAGAGATTCAGCGTTCAAGTCCAAGACACTACGTCTTGTGTGAGTGAGTGAGTGAGTGAGCATGATTTTACGTCGCTATTAGCAATATTCCAGCAATATCACGGCGGGGACACCAGAAATGGGCTTCACACATTGTACTCATGTGGGGAATTGAACCCGGGTCCTCGGCGTGACGAGCGGACGCTTTAACCGCTCCTTGTGTCTTAGACTTCCACATGCATCATCAATTATTTCAAAATGTACAGAATGTTTAAAAGACAGCTGATCTATCTTTTCAGCATATAAAGAGAATGACGTTTGAATTTACTCGGGAAAACAGAAAGGAAACATTTAACACAACACTGTGTGACCGCCAGTGAAGGGGGATAACTCTACAAGTGTGTCCGTTTTCATTCAGTTAGTTGCACTTACATAGTTTCGCTTTCAGTGGACTACGGTTCTCTTTAACTATGCCCTTTGCTGCATGGAAATACTTGGAGTTCAAGAAAGGGTTCTAGAAGGAGAAATCCCATGTTTACATGGAGTCGTGATTCTCAAAGTGAGTTGGGTTTAACGTCTCGTTCAACAGCCTTTCAGTTACACCAAAGCGTGTCACCCACCAGCACGGGTGTGGTGCAGACAAACCTAGAAACATAATCAGAGCAAACCGGGATTCGAACACACGATCGCACACAGAAACCTACGTCCTAATCATGTACAACACTAACCACAATCTCTATAGTGAATCGGTATGTTTCAGTTCGTGTAATACGACTAGTACTGACATAAACTAAACCATTGATAATAACAGGGGTAATTTCATACAATTCACCGTTATAACAGGGGTGATTTCATACAATTCACAGCTATAATAGTGGCAATTTCATACAATTTACCGTTATAACGGGTGATTTCATACAATTAACAGCTATAATAGTGGTAATTTCATACAATTTACCGTTATAACAGGGGTGATTTCATACAATTCACAGCTATAATAGTGGTAATTTCATACAATTCACCGTTATAACAGGGGTGATTTCATACAATTCACAGCTATAATAGTGGTAATTTCATACAATTTACCGTTATAACGGGTGATTTCATACAATTAACAGCTATAATAGTGGTAATTTCATACAATTTACCGTTATAACAGGGGTGATTTCATACAATTCACAGCTATAATAGTGGTAATTTCATACAATTCACCGTTATAATAAGGGTGATTTCATACAATTCACAGCTATAATAGTGGTAATTTCATACAATTCACCGTTATAATAAGGGTGATTTCATACAATTAACAGTAATAACAGTTTTGGTTTCATTCAATTCACCGTTATAACAGTCATGGCATACGAGTTCATGCAATAACCCATGTGAGCACATGCCAATTGCTCTATACTGTTATGGGGGGGGGGGGGGGGGGTTTGTCTGCTATAACTGTTGTGGTGGTGTATATATATATATACAATATTGTAAACATCAACGCCCGATGTGTACAGTAGCTCTGTTAGTGGTCTTGTATAAGTGCCTTTGTCACAGTCATAACACTAAACATGCAAACAAGAATTCCGCATTCGTCCATCAGAACAAGCTATGGAAGTGGGAGGAAAGACTAAGCTCGATATATACTCAACATGAAATGTAAAACAAGGAATGGCGAGCAAGGCCCAGTTCCAGAAATCGCTCTTTGGTTTACAATTGTCTTGAGTCTATATCAAGCACAGTCTATTCAACATGGTCTTTCCACATAATAAAACCATGTACAAAACACTATAAACTGAAGAATAAAAGAAACTATACAACCATGGTCGAAATTGTCTAAAACAACAAATGGTCATTCCATGGTGATGCATTTGAAACTGGAGTCATAACTGTATTTGGGGCTATTAGTCTCCAGTGTTTCACAGTCCGCTTTTAGCCTAGTAAAGTTTTGATAACAATAAAGGCAAGATACTATATGGACAATAACTTATATATCATAGATGCACTACTGTTTTTGGATGAATGCTCCACAACAATTTAAGAATCTATATCGAAATGTCGCAACATAATATAATTTTCCCTTAAATTGTTACTCACCAACTTCTAAAATGTCAGTTAAACAGTTCAACGTTTTGATAATATTTGAAATAACTTGCTTAAATTCCATTTCCAAGTGTTTACTTTCTTTTGTACGGCAGATGTCATTCACAAACCATGGCTACTCATTCTCTTCCCACAGAGGTTACTTGTCATATCTTCCTACGAAGAGGCCACAAATATCCCTCCTCTGCTGGGGCCTTCGGTTTATGAGACACACAAGACATTTAATGGCTAGCTTGTCCGTTGTCACCCAGGGCGATGGAGACGCCATTGATCCGCCATTACATGACTGAGTTCTGTCTAGAACAAACGTTTGCGCATCGCGCAGGGGAAGAGGTTCTTGTTTTCCCGAAGCATACAGAAATTACCGATCACATTTGAAACAACGTCGCTGATTGCACAACCAAATCTGATTGCAACCAATCACGAATCCTGAACACTCGCACCATGAAAGGGCCGTATTAGAACAGAAGTTCGTAGGAAGATACAGTACAACCAGAAATTTTTGAGAATTTAAGATTGTAATTTTTTTTTCACTCATTACTCACGTATTAATATGTGAATATTAGCAGAAGACAACTCCAGATTCAAAGACAGGTGAACAGTTAGTATTTTGTCAAGTCACCATGGGCAGCAATGCATACTACTGATCAAAGAAGTTAGAAAGTCGTGGTCCATGCTGTCCCAATATCAGACCACCTCTTCTTTCATTTCAGCAATATTTGTCAGATTTTTCTTATTGACACTTTCCATCATAAGTCCCCAAACATTTTCTATTGGATTTAGGTCAGGGCTATAGCTTGGCCAATCTAATAATGTCATATTTGGGTCCGAAACCAGACCTGTGAATGCTTTGAACGATGTTTTGGGTCGTTGTCCTGCTGGAAAATCAAAAAAATTCCATAGAACACGTGAGCAGATGGAAGTAAATGTCCCTCGAGAATATCTGTGTACCGCTCACTGTTCATATTCCCTTCAAATACACAGAGGGGCGTTGCCCCTAACACAGAAATGCCACCCCACACATTAAATTTCGGAGTGTACTTTGGGCGCTGATACAAAGGTTTTTCAGTTTGTTTGGTCCAGAATTTCAGTGTATTAGGAAACAGCCACACAGAATTTTAATCTGAGAAAATCGCATTGTCCCAGTTAAAATTTCTATGCTGTAAGCACCAGTTCAACCTTCGCTCCTTTTGTTCAGGTTTCATGATCGGTGATGGAATTCCTCGACTTTTCTGCCAACCCATTGCATGCAGCTCAGTTCTAATTGCCTCCTTACAGACAGCCACAGTTCCTCTATCAATCATATCCAGCCTTAAGTTTTCT